TCTCCTCTCCTCCTCTCCTCTCCTCTCTCCTCTTCCTTCCTCCCTTCCTTCCTCTTCCTCCCTCCCTCCTTCCCTCCCTTTCTCTTTCTTTCTGTCAGGGTCTCACTCTGTCACCTAGGATGGAGTGCAGCAGTATGATCACAATGCACAGCAGCCTCGATTTCGATTTCCTGGGCTCAGACAATCCTTCCATCTTAGCCACCTAAGTAGCTGGGACTACAGGGGCATGCCACCATGCCTGGATATATGTTGCCCAGGCTGCTCTCCGACTCCTAGGCTCAAGCAATCCTCAGACTGCCTCAGCCTCCCAAACTGCTAGAATTACAGGCATGAGCCACCATACCCAGCCTCTTTGTGTTTCTTGATACTGACTTTTTTGAAGAGTACAGGCCAGTTATTGTATACACTGTCCTTCAATTTGGGTTTTCCGTTGTTTCTCCATTATCAGATCAGTTTACACATCATTGGCAGGAATTCCACAGAAGTGATGCCTTGTCCCTCTCAGTATATGATATAGGAGGCACACGATGTTGATTTGTGCCACAACCAGTGGTCACTGTTCTTTTTTGTTGTTTTTTGAGTCAAGATAGGGTCTCTGTTAGGTTACAATATATATCCCAGTGGGGTCTCGAAATGTTAGGTCACACCTGCTGGGGTGGGGTGTCTGGTGCCATCAGATGCCTCGTGAAAGATCCAAAGAATTCCACAGAAGTTAGATCAGAAAAATCGTTTATTTAGCCAGGGACAGTGGCTCATGCCTGTTATCCCAGCACTTTGGGAGGTGGATGTGAGAGGATTGCCTGAACCCACAGATTCAAGACCAGCCTGGGCAACTTGGCAATAACTCATCTCTACAATAAATCAAAAAAATTTAGCTGGGCGTGATGGTACATGCCTGTAGTTCCAGCAACATGGAAGGCTGAGGCAGAAGGATCGCCTGAGCCCAGCAGGCTGAGGCTGCAGTGGCTGTGAGCGTGCCACTGCCCTCCAGCCTGAGCAACAGAGTGAGACTCCAACTCAAAAAATAATAATAATAAAATAAATATATAGTTTATTTAGAAAGTAAAAGAGAGAGAGAGATTCACCTCCCCAAGGTAAGTGAAGGGGCAAAGCTTAGAAAAACATGGCCTACCCAGTGCTTAATGAAACAATGACAAATGGAGCAGGGAGGGAGAGGAGAAGGGAGAGGAGAAGGGGAGGAGGAGGGGGAGGAGATTCACCTCCCCAAGGAAAAGGAGAAAGCCAAAGAGCACATGGCCACTCCATAGCTCAGCGAGGCAATGACCTGGTCACTGTTCTTAAGTTAGGCCTCTGAGCTCCAGCCAGCCAATCACTGTGAAGGCTTTCTCACTTAAGCTCAGATTCCTAGCTCTACTCTAGGGGACCAAGAAGGATGAATAGCTGGCAACAGACTTGGGATGTTTGGAGAGCTTGGCTCTAGCAGTTTTGGTACCATTCTGTCCTAAACTAACCAGTACCTGGCACATGATAGGTGCTTTTTGAATTGAGTGCACAAGTAAACTATCTATCACTCCTTTCTTTCAGATACCTGTGGCATGTTCCATTGACATTCACCACCAGCAAATCAGACATGGTCCATAGATTTTTGCTGAAAACAAAAACAGGTAATTTATTGTAGAAATAACTAGTTTAATTCAAGGAGGATATGTGGAGATGTGTAGGACTTTAATACTAAGCTCCTTTTGCTATTTATCTTGGTTAAAACAAAAAGGATCGGATGGAAAATACTTTTTGGTTTAAAAAATGGCCAATATCTTGCCAGATAGAGATTAAAACAATTGAGTTATGAAATGCTAAAAAGGAAGGATTAGTGGTGAAAATTCCCTATTACTATGTTACCATTAATGGGTTCCATCATAAATAAGACCAGAAACGTGATTGCATTCTTTTCATAGATCTATAAATCTCACAAAATTAACGTCTAAAGCTGATGTTGGCTTTTGTCTATTGAGTTGCTATTTTCTGGTTTCTAAGAGAAATAAGTGATGATTTCAAATTGTTCCATGTTAAGCTCTTCTCTACTTTTCTTGTCCAGTCTCTGATCAGAAAAGCTTTCATTAGGCAAGAGAGTAAATGGAGCTATGATTTATTTTATTTGTTCTAGATGTGCTCATCCTCCCAGAAGAGGTGGAATGGATCAAGTTTAATGTGGGAATGAGTGGCTATTACATTGTGCATTACAAGGATGATGGATGGGATTCCTTGACTGGCCTTTTAAAAGGAACACACACAGCAATTAGCAGTAATGATCGGGCCAGTCTCATTAACAATGCATTTCAGCTTGTCAGGTAACACAAGCCACACAAAGACGTGGTTTATTTCTGAAAGCAGCAGCTGTTATCATTCAAATTTTTGATTTCTAAAAATGAAAATGCGGATTGATTACTAAGAAGAAGTTGAAAGATGTTTTCCCCTAAGTTCTTCTAAGGATCCAAGATTGCTCCTAGCCTTATGAATAACCTCCTGTTTGTGACAGCTGAGTCACTTGAAGGAAGGAATCTGTATTTTAATCTTTCTCATTAATTACTCACATCAGACTGAAATGAAAGCTTAGAAAAGGAGGAGAGCCGGGCTCGGTGGCTCAGGCTGTAATCCCGCTCCTTTGGGAGGCTGAGGTGAGTGAATTGCCTGAGTCCGCGAGTTCGAGACCCGCCTGGGCAGCGAGACCTCATCTCTACAATAAATCAAAAAATCAGCCGGGCGTGGTAGTGCATGCCTGTAATTCTGGCTACTTGGAAGGCTGAGGCGGAAGGATCGCCGGAGCCCAGCAGGTCGAGGCTGCGGTGGCTGGGAGCGGCCACTGCACTCCAGTCTGGGCGACAGAGTGAGACTCCAACTCAAAAAAAGAAAAGAAAAGGAGGAGACCAGCATCCTGGTGAAAGCCCTTGCCTCATCCTTTACAGCTGGTTCTGCAGCCTTTTCTGGTTATACTAGCTCAGGCTTCTCCCATGACGAATCTTCAACAGTCTTGAAGACTGAGAGACCCAGGACCAAGTTATTTGCATTACATCTCTTGGATTAAAGGAGGGATTTTTTTTTCTTTCTTAAATCAGATACGTGAACTCACAGTATCTTTAGAGAATGCAGCTCATAAAATCTGGCCCAACCAAATGACCTTTGAGTGATTAAGGATAGAGTGAAACTATCCTCTTTTTTTTTCTTTGCCTCATATCAATGGTTTTAAGGAAATGCTCCCCAAGACTAAAACTCCGACTTCTTCAATATTTAGGCAGAACTGCAGTCTTAAGGGAAACCACCCAGGTTCTCCTCATACCCATGTTTCTCTGCTCTGAATGCTGGGTTCGTTCTTCTGGGTTTTCTTTCCACCACACTGGGCCTCCCAAGATGACAACAAGCAATGAGGGAGAAAGTGAGGGGTTGCTTCTCTAGTTGTTTCTTCCTGCCTAAAAAAAATCCCCCTCAGTAGCTTATTTCTACTTGAATCTTAGAGACTTTTGTGTTTACTTATGTAAATATATACCCTACTACTAAAGTGTGTAACACCAACCCTCTGTAATGAAGTGTGTCTTTTTGAAATGGAGAAGATGGGTTTACTCCAGGGACTTGTACTTTGGACTGAATGGCAGTGTTTCTGACTAGGCCTCCTGAAGGATCTTTGATGGAAATCCCCATATTACTCTGGAAGTTTGGCACACAATCTAGTGTTTCATGGGATCAGATGTTGACATGCTTCCATTCCATCTTACCCATGTGTTAGCCTTACCTTCTCCCCAGCATTAACATGCCAGATGTTGTGTGACAGAGAAGAGACTAAGATAAAAGTTGTTATTTATTTATAAGGGACATTTATATCTGGCTGAATGTTTTGCTGGAAGACTAAAACATATTTTGAAGCAAAAAGTTGATTTCCTGGATTTTCTTTTAAACCACTAACCATAGTGTTTCTTGGCCAGCATTGGAAAGCTGCCGATTGAAAAGGCCTTGGATTTAACCCTTTACTTGAAACATGAAACTGAAATTATGCCCGTGTTCCAAGGTTTGAATGAGCTGATTCCTATGTATAAGTTAATGGAGAAAAGAGATATGAATGAAGTAGAAACTCAATTCAAGGTAAAAACCTGAAATAGTTTTATGTCATTTGGTTTTTTTGTGTGTGTGAAAAAGAGTACTTATCATTGTGTGTATATCTATGCATGTGGATATGTGTCTTCGTATACATTTATTAAGGAAAAACAAATAAAATGTATTCAGTATTTGGATAGACTAGCAAGGATTTGGGTTTTATTTTGGCACTAATCATGGGAATGACATTCTTAGACTCTTCAATTCCCATCCTTTCACAAATCTTTTATTTCATTTTACTTTACTTCTTTATTATGATGGCTGATGTTAGATTTTCTGGGATTCCTTTTTTTTTTTTGGAGTTGGTGTCTCACTCTGTCACCCAGGCTGAAGTGCAGTAGCACAATCATGCTCACCACAGCTTTGACCTCCTGGGCTCAGGCAATCCTTCCACCTCAGCCTCTCAAGTAGCTGGAACTGCAGGTGTGTGCCACCATGCCTGGCTAAGTTTTTAATTTTTTTATTTTTTGCAGAGATGGGGTCTTGCTATGTTGGCTAGGCTGGTCTCGAACTCCTGGGCTCAAGCAATCCTCCTGCCTTGGCCTCCCAATGTAACTGAGATAACAGGCATGAGTCACTGTGCCCAGCCAGGGACTTTTAATCGTACTTGAGAAAGAGGCACAAATTATTTCTGGCAAAAAGATATTAAGTTTTGTGGCATGATTTGCTCTCAAAGTTTAGTCACATAAACTCTCTTTTAATTTGTTTTTTCAAGGTGGCAGTTCATCTTGATTTTAAGTAGATATAAAAGATTGCTGTGAAAATACTTAATTCATCATAATTTCTTGTTTTGACCCTTCTTATAACAAAATATAAACAGAGCTGCATGGTTTTTACAGTAAGAGTTGGATTAAGTTTTAAAAATCAGCCCCCATCACCTGAGGCCATAATGGATTCTATTAACATGAAATGACCTGTGACACTACTGGTGACCCTTGTCCCTCTCCCCCTGTACACCGCTCTCAGGCCTTCCTCATCAGGCTGCTGCAGGGGCTCATTGACAAGCAGACATGGACGGACGATGGCTCTGTCTCAGAGCGAATGCTGAGGAGCCAGCTCCTCCTCCTCGCCTGTGTGCGCAGGTACCAGCCTTGTGTGCAGAGGGCAGAAGGCTATTTCAGGAGGTGGAAGGAATCCAATGGAAATCTGAGGTCAGTCCTACTGAATAACCCATTTGTTGATATAAAGGGTATCTTTTTTCTGTTTTCCATCACTGGTGCTAAACACTGCATAAACAAGTCTCCCCTGTTGCCCTTTTCTGGAAAATAAATTGCTTTTTAAGATTTACTATGTATGTCTCAAATTGGTCTTAAGAAATGCTAGAGGGAACTTCTGCACATGAAAGACAAATATCTTGGGAGTTAGAATGGAATTGGAATCATTCTTACTTTGTATAACTAATACAAAACCTTACTGAAGACAGCCATTCCATACAGAAACAGAGTTCATGTGTTTTTTAGTAGCTTCTTTGGCCTTCCAAAGTTCCTGACAGGGGTGCATAGTAGTTGCCGACAATGTCTAAGCAGGTAGAATCTTAGCATATCTGGAAAACCCTATTCTTGCTACACTTCTGTCCTTTGTTTTTTGGGGCTTTTTGGAATCAGGGGTCCCACTCTGTTACTGAGGCTGGAGTTGCAGTGGCATGATCATGGCTCACTGCAGCCTCAAACTCCTGAGCTCAGGCCATCGCCCCACCTCAGCCTCCCGAGTAGCTGGGACTATATGTGTCACCACATCTAGTTATGTTTTTTTTTTTTAATTTTTTGGTACAGAGGGGGTCTTGCTGTGTTGCCTAGGCTGGTCTCAAACTCCTGAGCTCAAGCAATTCTCCTACCCTGGCTTCTCAAAGTGCTGGGATTATAGGCATAAGCCACCGTGTCCGGTCATCATCCATTCCTATTTGGGACATAAATCCCATCCTAGAAACAGAGAGGCCCACAATCTACCTGCTTCCATTTAAAGAAATGTTTACAAACAGAGGTCCTGTTGGATTCCTGACTTGTGGTTATGATGGTACACTTTGAATCCAGTTTAAATTTCTTTCTTTGGGCTTGAAAGGTTATTACCTGTGCAGTTACCCAGTGTCATTAAAGTATGTTGAATATGCATGTATTTATAAAAGTGGTATTTCATGTTACATTTTTGAGATTACTTAAAACCTAATTTGATATATTTTCTCTTTCATAAAATGTAACTAAAACAAAGAAGTCATTTTTGTTTATATTTCTAGGTATGCTCTCTGATGACAGGGTCAGCTCATCAGTGTATAACTGGTCACCATTTTGCCCCTAAATGTGCTTCCTGCAACTCAGATTCTCACTGTGTGTTTTTTCCCACAGCCTGCCTAACGATGTGACTATGGCGGTGTTTGCCGTGGGGGCCCAGAACACTGAAGGCTGGGATTTTCTTTATAGTAAATATCAGTCTTCTTTGTCCAGTACCAAGAAGAGTCAAATTGAATTTGCTCTCTGTACGAGCCAAAATAAGGAAAAGCTTCAGTGGTGAGTCAGTCATTCATGTTCATGTGGCTGAGGGAAATTAAATTAGATTAGATCATTCTGGCATCTATTTTTGTTCTTTTGGCCAGGAATTGCCTATTCTGCTGGGAACATTATTGCAAGTGAGCACACATCTAAAAAGAATGGCAATAATAAGGGAGAGAGCCAGGTGATAGGAAAAATATTGAATATTAATATTTCTGTATCTTTAAGGTGATAATGTGCTTGAAGTATTCACTAGAGGTACTTTTCCTGACTGTTCTTTTGAGCAAATGAGAGGATATATGAGAATGGGTGTTATAAACATGATATAAATGGCAGTTTTCATTATGTAGCTATAGTGAATTTATCAGGACTCTGGTTATCTTTTTAGCCTTTATTATTATTGGTGGACTGTTTTTTTTCTTTTACAAATATTTTATTGCAGGTATTCATAACTGTTTCATTACCTCTTCATTGTTAACATCTCTTAATTCTTCTAGGCTACTAGATCAAAGTTTTAAGGGAGATATAATTAAAACTCAGGAGTTTCCACATATTCTCACACTTGTTGGGCGAAACCCAGTAGGATATCCATTGGCCTGGCAGTTTCTGAGGGAAAACTGGAATAAACTTATACAAAAGTAAGTAGTGCCAAAAAGTATCCCATGACTGGATAAATTCCCTAACCTTAATATGTTTTAGCTTGCTTGTTAAAGAACAGTACCAGTCTAAGGCGATTTTTTTGATTGAAGATAGGCTGTAAAAGGACTTAAAATATCCGTAGAAAACATAACTCTAATTCATTGCTAACTAATGAATCCAGACAGTGATGTTTTCCCTTCCATCTAGAGTAAGCCCTTCCTGCGTCCCTGGACTTATTTCTCCTCACAGTCCAGCCCATGTCTTCCATGAACACTTTTGCTGGTTTGCATCTATGTGTCTTTGTCTAATTCTTGTGGCACTTCCTGCTCAATCATTTTCTTTTGGGTACTTATTAGCTCTTGAGCTGTTGGTGTGTATTAGTTCTTACAACGAGATCTTAACTCATTGGTGGACAGAGGTCATATTTTATATCTTTTTCATGCCGAATCAGTTTCTACTTAAGTGCTGTTATATATAGGAAGCCCTTAAAAATATATGCTGAATGAATAAATATTTCACAATCCATATGGACAATTTCTCTTTCTAGGTTTGACCTTGGCTCCTCTTCCATAGCCTACATGGTAATGGGAACGACAAATCAATTTTCCACAAGAACACGACTTGAAGAGGTAAAAAACAAAAACTTTTTAAAACTTAAGTGACAGCTGATTACATACAGGATAGACAAAATACTGGGAGGGTGTGTGATGAGCTAGAAATGGGTTTTGTCATTTAGAAGTTATTTTTGGATGCCATGGTGTTGACATAAGCAAATATCAGTTGCAAGCAAACTCGTGAACACTGAGTCTCTTCTCAAACATGTTAAGAGGTCTTAGCAATTTAAAAAGTTGCTTGCGACAATGAATTAGACCTTGTTTAAGGATGTTAAAAGTGAGCATTGGAGACATAAAAGACTGAAGTAGTCATCTAGCTACCGTGAAGGAGACAGGTCTGAAATCTAGCTTCTTCACCATCCAAGTCCATGGGTTCCATGTTACTTATGACACGTACCATCTACTTTTAGAAATAATTTTAGGCAACTTATAAGATCCATCTATAAATGTCAAAGAACAAAAGCTGCATAATGGACTGGAGATAACTATGTGAGGAGCTTATGCTGAGGATCACTATTGCAATTGTCCCCTAAATTTATCACAGAGATTTCTAGCAGCCAAGGGAATGTGAGAAATCAGTATGGGTTATTCTCATTGTCCTGTAAAAGGGAATGTGTAACATACAAGTTTTCTGCAAAAGCAGACTTTTTTCCAGTCTTAAGCTCTGAGGAATTTCAGGTGTGGGCCACTGTGTTTTGTGGTATCCCTTCTGTAACAAAGTTTCCAATAGTTAAAGCTTTGGAACAAATCTTACATGGCTTAAAAAATATATTACATTCAGATGAAATCTGAGTGCTTTGAAAATTTTAAAAATTAAAATTTTCAATAGTTCCATAGTGTAGCCTGGTTATTGCTGGTCCAGTTTGACGTAGGAAGAGAGCTTTGAAAATGCAAAAGGATGAAGGGTTGTCACAGTCCCTTAGCATTTTCTCTAGTTCTCAGTAGCCTTATTCAGGCTTGCAAAATTTACTTGCACCTAATGATTCAAGCTTCAGCTCCAGTGAGGTCTAGAGTGGAGGTATTCTCTGTGATGACGAAGAACCATTCACAGGCTTTGACCAGGCAGACCGGATCTATAGCAGCTAAACATTTCATTCATTCACTTGTTCATCTTCTCATTAATTCATTCAAAACATATTACATTCTTATGATATGCCAGACATGCTTTTAGGTTCTGGAGCTACAGCAATGAACAGACACAGCTCCTGCTGTCATGGAGCCTACACTCTATTGGGAGAATCAGACAATTACAGACAGAGCAAACTACGTCAAATAGCTCTGAAGATGAATAAGACAAGAAGAGAGGGCGATCGGGGTGGGGGATGGTGTCATGTTCTATAGGGTGATTAGGGGAGGATTAGGAGATATTTGAGAAGATACTGAAAGATATGCTGACACCAGGAGAAGAATGTTGCATGCAGAGGGCACACCAGGTGCAGAGACTCTGAGGCAGGACACAAAGAGTCCGAGATACTGTCATCATGGAGAACATCCTACTGACACTTAAAATGTGAGAGTCATCTGAATTATTCCTTCCCCTCATCTTAATTCATCCCTGCATCCTGTTGGCCCTCTAGTACATGCACGGTATCTGTGCATTTCCCTTTTCTGCTCTTACCCCCAAGCCTTTCCCATCTTAGGCCTCCTCACTGGCCTCCCTCTTGCCACCTTGCCAATAGCAAACCATTTCCCACATTTAAAACTGATTAGCCCATGGCTGACCATCTTCTTAAAACCCTGCCCATTGGTCTTGCAATAAATTCACACCCCTCCTTTCCATGTGTCCAAGACTGTGATGATGGCTTCTGCTGACCTCTGTGGCCAGCTCCCACAATCTCTCCTGGTTCACTCTCTCTAGCCACTCCACCCACCTCCCCCTGTGCCTGGGCCACTACATGCTCTTCCTATTACTAAGCCTCTGCACTTTTTCTTCTTCTGCCTGGCTTGCTCTTTTCCCAACTTCTCATTTTATCCTTTAGAGCTCCCAGCACAAATGCCATCTTCCCTGACCTTACTGTCCAAAACAGGGGCCAGCCTCTCCCATTACTCCCATAACTTATTTTCTTCATAGCAGTATATTTATAGTAATTATATTACTGCTTGTCCCCCCAAAAGACTAAGTTCCATGAGGGCTTGGTGCTGGCCCGATTCACTGCCTCATCTTCAGTGTCTAGCACCAGTAATTACAGCAGAGGGATGAACAAGTACCAGAGTAAATGCTGGTGAACAAATGGATGAAGGTGAGGCCCTGAGACCTGTTGGGTTAGGGGTTCTATGTTTTGCCCACATTCTGTGACTACATCCTCAACACAGCTTTGCCATGCAGATAGTCTCCCCCTTTTACTAAGGAAACTGAATCCCCCACAGAAGTTAAATCGTTTGCTCAAAGTCAAACAAATTGGTAGGATACACCTGTTTTTCTAATCCTATATTGTACTAATTGCACAGAAAATATTCTCAAAGAGGCAGGTTGGAATGAAATATGCTGTTAAAATGGTGCGTTTCCAAGGCAGGTAAAGATAGAAGAGGCAATGTGGGATCAGGAAAAGGGTACGGGCTCAAGGATTAAAGCTGGCTTTGCTCTTGGGGAAGGCCTTTTTAGCAGCACTGTCACTATCACGATGGGCTGCTTCAGGATTAATTAGTCTGGCCAATTAGTAAAGTTATTGATGTGGGTTGACTATTGAAGAGCACCCACAGTAATTTTTAACTGACTATGAATTAATCTCGAGTTCTGATAGTACAGAAACAGCAGGGTTGAGCTACAACTTAAGGCAGAACAGTGGAGGAGGAGGGTTTTCTAAGTTGCCACAGCATAAGGCCATGCCTTCTGCTCACTGAAAAGTTGTACTGTACTGACATATAATTTTAAAACAACTCTGCATCATTTAAAATTGGAATTTGATTTTTCTGAAGCCTATTCCTAACTCTCCTCTATTCCCAAACTTATGATATTATGATATGGGTTTTTAAGGAATTAGCTGTCTGGAATCCACACTGAATAAATAATACATCTTGGCCTACAATTACTTCCTGAATATAAAATCAAAAGTTGAGGGATTAATGCTGGGAAAATTTATGGGAAATGGGTAAGAATGCTTTAAGGTGAAACAGAATAGCACACTGGTCAATGCTGTGACAAACCCAGCCTGTCCCTCATGTGAGCTTAAGAGATTTAGATACCCAGAGATGAAACAAGAACAAGGTTATTTTTCAGGAGATAGCCAAGAGTCTCTTACCTCTTTAAGTACTTTATGTGGGGCTTTTTTTTTAACCTTGAGGGAACAATACATGAATTGTGGATTAGAATTTTTAAAAATTGGCCAGGTTTAGGGTCTTACCACCATGACTTGCTAAGAATGCCATTCCCCCAGTGTTTCTATCATAACATACAAGGCCAGGCCTATGGAGAAAGATCGCACTTATGTGGCTGGAAATGCTTTGCTTGGCAAAGAAGATGCTTTGCACATTCTGCTTTTTAGATACCATGTTAAAAAAATTAACTTTGCATCTGTGTATACAGAACAGGATACACATTCAATAGACACACTCAATTAAACCTTAATTATAAAATGGTAAACAGTGAAGTCTTTTAAAGCCTGGCAACTGTGAATAAATAAAAGAGCTGCAGAGAAAAAACGCAAAACCTGACATCACAAGGCCTGAGCTCATTCCACAGAGCCCATGTATACATAACTGTATCCAGACACCTGGGGCTGCCTTCTCTATAGAATTTTGACAAATGCTGGAACTTCATTTTCAGTTTTCTTTTAACTAGCTTGAAGTTACATTTGCTTAATATAATAAAATTTTGTAAAAACCCAATTTTTCCTCACAAGGTAAAAGGATTCTTCAGCTCTTTGAAAGAAAACGGTTCTCAGCTTCGCTGTGTCCAACAAACAATCGAAACCATTGAAGAAAACATACGCTGGATGGATAAGAATTTTGACAAAATCAGAGTGTGGCTGCAAAATGAGAAGCTTGAACTGCTGTAACAGTTTGTTTCTTGCCAGGTTCCTGCTAGCTACAGTCTCCAAAATTTTGTAGAATGTGAATATTTTTCAAACTAGAGATGGCTGTTTTGGCTCCAGCAGAAGATACTCCCTTTCCCTTCAACTCCTTATTCATTTGGCAATTCCTGTGAAGAGATTGGCTGTTTTTCATTCATGGGCTCCTACTACCACATTTCATTTATGGGTGTGTCTTGCCAAATAAACCCAAGTGGCAGGTTCCTGACATGGAGGAATCAACTACCTTATTTTTCTCATTTTATATTTCATGCTGTTACATCTATCTCCTGAAAAGACTTTGAATGTGAAGACTACTGAACAATGAACACCTGGGTCACACACAAAGCCTGGTTCACAGACTAAGTACAATGGCTGTGTGAAGGCTCTAATGTTGAGCCCTCTAGAACTGCTGCCCACCCTTTCTCTTTCTTGCTTCATCCCTGGGGGTTTACTTGTTAGGCCAAGTCATCATGCTTCCTTGGTCTCTGAATTCTGGTCAGTGGGAGCCCTGGGAGATTGGGTTAGGAAGGGAGGTGGTGTTTCTTACTAGTTCCCTTGCAGGATGCCTGGAACTGGCCTCCACTCAAGGTCTCCGCTCCTAAGAGGCGGCTCTCTTTTGCATACAGCCTTCTCCATCTCTGTGTTCTGGTAACTGCTTCCCTGACTCATCCCTTCAAGACTAGGGGCCTTGGTGAAAGCCTAGCTTTTACTAGTCCTGATGGTACTTGTGGTTTCCACACACCTCACCCACACCTTTGCAAAAAATTCTTTTATAGAACCCTCCTCAGACAATTCTGAGTGTTACTTATTTCCCCCGAAGACCCTGATTTATACAGTATCTCTTACGAAAAAGCAGAGTGCACTCAGGTCTATGGGAAAAGACTTTTTTTTAGGTAGGGAGGAGATGTCTTCTTCCTTTTCTGCTTCTTATTTGGCCTAGTTTACAATTCTTAAGTAATTTGTCATTGGCACTTATTGCCAATAAATCTTTGCAGAGTCACCAATAAATAATGATATATTGTGAAATGAAAAATATTTGCTTATATTAGCCCAAAGTGAGGATTTATATTCTTTGGCTTTGAAGTCATATGAATTTTTTTAATATATGGCAAAAAATTCAAGATAAAGGAATATAATTGATATGAAAAATGTCAAAATGTATTGCTGTAATACATTATAGAATGCAGTGACTTTTCTGTACATAAATGTATTTCTAGTTCCATTTTTTATATACTGCATAAGGGTTTGGGAAATAAAAAAACAGAAATCACTGGTAATTTCCACCCCAGGCTATTTTCCTTCGTAAAAAAAAAAAAACAAAAAACACACAGCCAAAATCTTAATGGAAAATGTTTTGCTTTAATTGTATTTTATATCTTGATTAATGAAACATGGAAATATTGGTTTTTCAGTTTTGGTCACCTAAGGCACACATCTTCATTTGCTTTTGAAAAAGATCACTTTCTAAACAGATACAATATTGCCACAACAATGTGCAGGAACCTTCTTGGTAATAAAAAATTGTCTGTTCTTTACCTCTAAGCAGATATTTGCAATTCTTTTCTCCTAATAATTAGATAGTAAAAAAGGGCTGCTTTAGATTCCAGAGCTCACTCCAGTCATCATTAGCTACTGGCAAACACCCAAGTCTTGCAGATATTTCTAATTAAAAAAGAAGGCATATTCAGAGTTCTTTAAATAAATGTTTACTTTTACAGGCATTTTTAAACCTCTGGATTTAGGTATGTCATTTAAAAATATTTCTATATGTGCATGGAAATTGGTAATACTGCAACCATACCCTTGCAAACATATCTGTCAGTGTCAAAGGTTTCAAAGTCTTTTTTTTTTTTTAAAACAAAAAAGCAAGCACCTATACTGCTCAAATGGGATAATTAGATACATAGTTAAAATCCCTTTTTCTTGTTACTGCCATAAAAATAGAATAATGACTGCATCTCTGATGAGCAGAGACACAGTATTTTAAGCAGGTAGATTTTGAAATCCCATAGGCATGTGCATGACTTTTAGAGAGTATTTTTAGGGGTATTAAATGTGATGCTCATTACAAGCATTATTATTTTTGCTTGCCCCACCCCACCATTAGACAGTATAGGAAGTCTGTTAAGTCCTAACAAAAGCTTTAAACCAATGCTAAGGAAGGCCATGCTCTTTGGAAACAAGAAATTCCAAGTCTGTCTTATGTTAGGTACCAGACTTTTTTTCCTGCATTCACTCCCAGGAAATAAAGATGAAATTAAATATTTACAAAAATTCTGTCAACGATATCAGTGCAATGTTCACGAACTATTCACTCAGAAAGATCTGAGAAACCATTCAAAGTTATAAGGCATCAGACCGAGTTCTTAAATTGCTGTGGGAGAAAAACTGATTTTAAATTTCACAAACTTAATATATATGTGTATTTCTTTAAAGCAGAAGTTTCTTTTTATATTTGGTAAACTTCCATAAAGCTAGATGCTATACAGTGCAGAGACTAATGTGGCAATGGCTCTAAGTAAACAATTGCTGTCCAGGTTTTATGTACAGAGAATAGAAAGCATAGTTTAGTAACATGGGAAACCAACAGAGTTGAAAATATGTGAATATTCTGAGAATTAGGTTGTACTTTATTCTCGAAACTTGCCACATCATGATTTATCTAGCCTGCATTTTGCTTTTGCTGACTTGATTCAAGTCTCAGTGTGTTTTTGTGACTGTAAGGTGCAGAAGTTCTCACACCTGGTAAAGAAGAGTTCAAACTGAAAAGGGGATCGGTGCTTCCTGGTTTGCCCAGGTGATCTATTATTAATTTATTATTAGCAGCCCAAGAGGAGATATGTGCCCGATATACAATATCTTAGGTTTGACTTATAAATGTTAACCCAAAGAAACATCAAATACAGGTCAAAAGCCCAAGCAGAAGGTGGGGGGAGAGGAATAAAAATAATAACATTGAAGAACGTTTAAAGCATTGTTTTCCAAACACTAGCAAAACAAAAATAATAATAAATGCAAACTGAAAATACTAGTGAGATTTACAGGCACTGTGTGTAGAATGTGCAAAAGTTTGCAGTTTTTCCTTTTTTTTTGGTGTTAAGAAACTGTATCAAATATATTTCTTACAAATATAAAGCTTGCTTTCTTTCTCAACTGAGGGCAATTAAAAAAAATTCAAAGTTTATCAATACTCAGTACAATAACACAGGTGAACCAGACAAATTCATTTTCTTTCTGGAAAAGAACAACAAACCAATGTTTAGGATGACAAATGACTCAACAAATACCACTGTCTAGAAGCTACTCAGAAAAAATTATTTTCTGTTGCCAAAGCCTTTTGTTCTTCAAAAGTCACCATCCACCAGCTGAAGATTTTACATGCAGATACCTTGAAAAATTCAAATAAAAAATCCAGTGAATCATGTGATATGTAATTTTCTTATTAAAGCATAGTAAATATACCACTTAGCAAAAACATTGTGTAACAAACAAAAAGTAATTTCCTATAAGTATACATGAGAGTGGATCATTAACAGAATTTTTTTTAATTTCAGAAAAAAATCTTGAAAACAATTCTAACAGTATACCTCCCTCTTTATAGGAGATAAGATGGATAGTATACCTCCCTCTTTATAGGAGATAAGATGGATGATAGTGAGAGAGCTGAACTCGATTTAACCTACTTTTTGATTTCTTTTAGGCTTCGGTTGGTAAGTGGTGTTATGCTTTTAAGGTTTAGCATAAGGCCTCCCCACTCTCTGAAGATTAAGGACCCTGCTCTCAAGCTAGATCTCAGAGATTCCTTCATCTGTCACCATAAATTGGAATCAACATATTTGTAAACGAAAAACAATGTACATTCAACCAACCTATGTGTTGTAGGTGAGAGAAATGAAGTCCACCTCGAGTATTAAAATTAAGACACAGGTGGTCCATCTTTCCCTTTGTGCATCTTCCAAAACCTTGTAATTTACCCCAGACCCAAAAGGTACTTTGCCCCACTCCACCATGTGTTATTATTTTGGGTACTATCAGTATCTTAAGGACATTTTGCTAAGTTGTAACATGCCAATTTTGCTTTGCCACAATAGCCTGTAGTCATGAGCATTTTGATTTAAAAGATTCAACTAGCTGGGCTCGGTGGCTCAGCCTGTAATCCTGCACCTTTGGGAGGCTGAGGTGAGTGGATTGCCTGAGCCCGTGGGTTCGAGACCCGCCTGGGCAGCAAGACCTCATCTCTACAATAAATCAAAAAATCAGCCAGGCATGGTAGCGCATGCCTGTAATTCCGGCTACTCGGAAGGCTAAGGTGGAAGGATCGCTAGAGCCCAGTAGGTCGAGGCTGCGGTGGCCAGGAGCGGCCACTGCACTCCAGTCTGAGCGACAGAGTGAGACTCCAACTCAAAAAAAAAAACAAAACAAAAAAACAAAAAAAGATTCAACTATCCATAGATGCCCATTTTCTGTCTGACCTAATATTTTAAATAGCTATTAGAATAAGGTTTTTAAACCTTTCAATAGCACAATCCTCCCATTTAACGCTTTCAGAGAATGAGTGGTTACTCTCGATTTCACAGTGTGCATTTCATGGCAATAGTATAAAGAGAGCATGAAATACTCAAGAAAGTGGACTTCATTTCTCTCACCTATAACACACAGGTTGGTAGAAGGTACTGTTGTCTTCATTTATAATAGACATCCAACTTACCATAGTGTAAACTTTAACTTGTATTTCTTTCACTGGCTTTTGGCTTGGGTGTTTCCTCTGTTGTCTAAAAGGGAAAGCAAAACCATCAGTGAGCTCTTTTCTGGTTTAACGGCCAAAAAGCTGATCAGAGGCAGTTTATGAAGAGATGGGCTACTCAAAATTAAATAGATAGAAGATGGCAGGCAGTGTCAGAAAATAAGAGGGTCCTTCCAAAGTTTCTTTCCTTCACTTGGTCAAAACAGTTCTTTCTCCTCAAATCTATAAGCTAAAAATGACCTTACGTGATCTTAAATTTCCCACTCTACATTTTTTTTAAGACCAGGTTAAAAAAAAAAAAAAATAGGTATTCTTGGAAGGTAGTATTTCATTCTATAGTGATTCATGCTGTTCCTGTAGTTGGGGTATGGCCGGCCAGCTAACTCACTGGTCATACAGGGTTGTTATGCTTTCTCTGCTTGTTAAGGGGCTGACCAAAGACGTTGTATAACTGAAATTAAAGAAGAATTTAATCTGAAATATAACGGTGTATCTGCCAATTATCAATGCTATTTCTTATATCCTATTATAGACTCTACTACAGGAAGCTTTCAATATTTTCTTTTTAAAAGTTTTTATGTGACTGGACTACTGTTTTTAAAGCTACACTTTTAATTTCTCATTATAGTCAGAGGATCATAGTAATGATCACTTGAATCACACATTCTTGGAATTAGAAGGGACCTAGAAGTAGTCTAATCAAACTTCCATTTCTGACCACAGCTGGAGTAAATTTAATAATAAAAAAGTCCCAACTTTCATGTTCTAAAATTTATATAAACCACATACATACTCTTGTGGTATTTTAATAAGAGCAGGAAATGCAGCAACTTAAGAACATTCATTTAGATTTTTAAAATGCCAGTTACTTAAAATATATGTATACATGCACACGTGTATGTCTTTTAAAATCCAATTTCTATGAGATAGATAGTACTTTAGAAATATTTTATTCTAAATAGATTCCACTGAGAAAATTACTAAAGTGGTAAGCCCCACATCACGTGTTTGCTAAACTAATTGGTAAGGTATTTACTGCTTCACTTACCTTGGTTGAATCCTTTGCTTTACCTCCATTCTTGGGTGCTTTGGAACTGGAAGCAGTCTTTTTGCTCTTATCCTAAAGCAAAGGAAATGTCATGAGGGAACTGCTATCATCAATTCATCTAGCAATTAGCTACTGGCTGCAGTCAAATTAATCTTGAGTCTTTTTTTTTTAGTAACTTGGAGATATTCAACTTAATTCAATAATGGAAGAATTTGGATGTTTTAGCCATGATTTTTTGAACATGTAAATGTACACAGAAGGGTTTAAGGTAGTAGGTAAAATGGATAAAAAATAAAGAGGGAAATATGGGTTCCACCGATACTCTGCCAATTTCTATGGTGCATAGTTCACCGAGACCTTATTTTGCGCCTCAGTAGAGATTTTCTGTGAGGTAACAAATATTGGCCAGGGTGTGGAGAAAAGGGAACCCTCACATACTCTGGGTAAGAATGTAGATTGGTATCACCACTATGGAAAACAGGGAGGTTCCTAAAAGAAAAAAAATCAAAAATAGAATTACTATATGACTCAGCAATCCCTCCTCTGGGTGTGTGAAATGATCATCTCAAAAAGATACCTACACTCCCACAATATGGAAAAACCTAAGCGTTCATCAATGGGCAAATGGATAAAGGAAATGTAGAGGGGGAAAGTGAGAGGGGGAAAGTGAGAGGG